TTGTCGCAGGTGTGAATTTTCTCGTATGGGACGTGGGCGGGCAAGAGAAATTACGACCGTTATGGAAGTCTTACACCAGATGCACGGACGGTATTATCTTCGTGGTCGACTCGTGCGATGCGGAACGGCTCGAGGAGGCCAAAATGGAGCTGACCAGAACGGCGAGGAGCCCGGATAACGCCGGTGTGCCCATTCTGATCCTAGCCAACAAGCAGGATCTGCCAGGTAACACAGTTTCGTGCGCATCGCGTTAACTTGGCGTTTCGCCCCGATTATATAAAGACAACCGTGGCCTCTTTTCTAAACGAGATTGCTCAGATTGCTGACATAATATTAAACGTGTTTCTTTTTCTTTTTTTTTTTTTTTCTTATTCTTCTTTTTTAAGGAAACGTTAGAAATCGTATTCGACGATTTTGCGTCTCGATTTCAAATTCAAAAATTTTTATTCTTTGAAAAAATCGTGTTTCGATGTTTTTTTACGTATTCGTAAAAATAAATATAGGATCATTTTCGAAGACTCGTTTCGAAGCGTAGAGTAGGAATAAACGGGCAGGAAAATATTGGCGTATCGTATGGTTCGAACAGTATGGCTTCGCTACGAGTATAAACGCACTTGACCGCAATTTATAACGGAGCATGGTTAGATTAAAGATTAAAGATATATATACGAACAGCGCTTGATTTTATCCGACATTTGCTTCTAATAAAAAAAAAAAAAAAATAAATGAATCAGTCGCATCATTCGCGAGATTACGCGGGCTTCTCTACATTTTTCTTTTCCTATCTACGCCTTATTGCGTAACCAAATGCAAATCATCGTATAATAAACCGTCTCCGTTGAAATTGAACGGCACCTAACAATGAGATCGATCGACCGATCGCCGATACGCTCCACCATTTGATCGACAATTTCAATCGCTTGACAATTCTCCTTCCGGAACGACGAATCTTAAAAAAACACTCCTCGAAAATAAAATTCCAATTCTCCCTCCAACTCTTCCTCCTTCCTTCGATCTGAACCAACCCAACCTCTCCGAACCTGACCCTGAACAACCGCCCCGAAGAAAGAAAGATCGACCCCTCGTTTACTCTCACGTGCTCTCCCCCTTCTGGAATGTCAACGTTTGAACCGGTTCCTCCCGATGTCCACAGGTGCCAAAGAGGTGGGCGAATTGGAAAAGCACCTGGGCGTGCTGGAATTGGCGGGGATGCCGGGAAGCGCGTGCATCAGAGTGCAACCGGCGTGCGCGATCACCGGCGAGGGGCTTCACGAGGGTTTGGACACTCTTTATCAGCTGATACTGAAGCGGCGCAAGCTCGCGAAGCTGAACAGGAAACGGGCCAGGTAGGCCAGGGCCTCGGAGGACTGCACGTGCGTCTTCTGATTTTGCAAGTCGCGGACAGTCTCTCCTCTGGGCACAGCCACGCCTTCCACGGTGTCTTCTTCCTCCCCGTCGCGATGCCGCGACGCCGAGGTGCTCGAGTGAACAACGGAACGCGNCGTCAACGTCCCCACGAACATTGCTCGCTCATTGCCCGTGGACAAAGTCGTCTCGTTCGTTCGTTCCAACCGATCTTGTTGGAATCTCGCGCGAGCAACGGCGTCGATTCGAGCCCAATTTTCGAAAGATTTCGGACCGAAAATCTTGATCCCTGAACTGCGTGACGTAGAGGAAATGCCTCTCCATTCCACTCGATCGAGAAGATCGATGCGATCTCGTTTCAAGGACGAGGTTCGGATGACTCGACTGGGAATTTGGAACAGGTGTTTTTTTTTTTTTTTCCACGCCTTTTTTAACGCCGGCGCGATCAAGAGGATGTTCCTCTCCCTCCACGAACAGGAATGTAATAATCTAGGAAATTTTTTTCTAGCTAGCGTGGATCGATCGATCGCTATTGCGAGAGAGTTGTTAGACGAGCGAAGCGGATGATTACGACAACGAATCAAGTGCTTCTTCGCCCTATCGGAATAACAGAGAAGCTCTATTTTGCCAAAATTTTCGAACGAACGTTCCTTAGGACGTCCCTTTAGGAAATACGATTTTTAACGATCCCTTCGGCCGATCGTCTCGGCTTGTCACGGATAACGAGCTCCTCGGCTCTCACCGTTCTTTCTCACCGGCCGATGACGAAAAAAATGGGGAAACGCG